GGTCACATGGCTCATAAGTGACAAAACCAGTAATGGGAATCAAGATTTTGAATGCCAAGTTCAGCATTCTCCATCCTATCCCTGTATCCCCACTCCCCAGCTGCTGCACTGTTCAAACTCCAGCTCAGTTTGTACACAGATATAGCCTCAGATTTTGAAAGTGCGCCAGAGATGGGCTGTCGCATCCACTAGTGGCCTTCTGTCTACACAAACTTGTTCACTTGCAGAAATAATGAGTACCATTTACATCTTTTTAAGTACATCTCCAGGCAGCTGTCAAGTGATGACACATTTCCTCAGTACCACTGACTGTCCTCAACTCCAAGCCTGCACTTGCCACCCCACGGCAGGCGGAGTGATGAGCCGGGTCCTCTCACCTCTGCCACTGTCCTGGATGTGTAGAGGTCATGGCAGAACCTGGAGACACACCCAGCTCAAGCTCCAGCGAGGGGAGAAGGAGAGGCCTCCGCAGGAAGCAGAGGGGCTGGCCTGGCAAGTCAGGACAACGCAGGATGGGATGGATGGAGTAGCACTAGAATCCTGTCCAGAGGTTAAGCTCCCTGCTGTTTCCTTTGCAGTCAAGTAGGCGGACCAAACAAATATGGCAGGACATTTGGGGTGGAGGCTGGCCTGGTCTGACTTCAACTGATGGAAATCTTGGGAACTCTGTTTTACAGCCAACTGGCATAAACATATCCACATAACAAAGGATAATTTGTGTGAACACCAAGCTCGCCTGTAGATAAGTGTTTAAGTCACAGTTTTAGAGTTAGATGGGCTCAGCTAGTCTTCACTTGATAGATAACTCCTCTAGCTTGCAGTTTCCTTAAGTGACTTGCCCACAGTCATACTACTAGTTAGTATTAGGCATTTATGAGCTCCAGTACCCTCAAGTTTGAAAAAACAACCCAAAAGCCACAAGACAAAAACAAAACCATGAAAGTAGGTGGGAATATATACCTCCTGCAGGCTTTTTCCTATGGAATGTTCACAGAGCATGGCAACTGAACCTTGGGTCAAGCCAGCAGGCTAAATCTAGCCCTGATTTACCACTGGCTTTTGGAGAAGCCACACTGGAGCCAGGAGCATGCCTTGAATGAGATGCCTTATTGGCCAAGGGGAACATCTGCTGAACAGCCATCAACTTGCCTTGCTAAACATGAATAATCTGGTAACAATATTTTGAATTTGAATAAATTAGAGCATAGAAGTCAGAGACGGTGGCTCAAGCCCCTAGTCTGCCATTTACTAGCTATGTGACCTTGGGGCAAACTTGAGCCTTAACACTCACATCTGCAAAACAGGAAAAAGAGTATCACACCTACCTAAAGGGGTTCTGTGAGGTTAAAACAAGCTCAGACGTGTCATGGCAGGCAGCACTATGCAAAAATTAGGTAACTCCTTTTTCTGTAGTCTCTTGTAATCTAGAATGTCATTTTAAAACAGCGCTATTGAGATAATTTACCATAAAATTCACCCTTTTCACGTATACAGTTGAATGGTTTTTAGTAACAATTAGGTAACTTCTCCCCCATTGTCTCCAGTTTTCCTCTTGTCCACCACCCCTTAAGCATTAATTCACCCTCCAAAGCTCAGCTCAAAAATGGACTCCCCAAAACATTTGTCCTTATCTTTATTAGAGTACTTTCCATTGTAATTTTTTTAATGTATTCACCCTTCCTCCCATCAACTATGAACAAGACAGGGATAGTAACTACTAACATTCACATAGCACTTTATAGACATCTTTCCACATAGGTTAATTCTTTTGATCTACTTTTGTATCCTACACTGTGTCCATAGCAACCACTTTATATTTATGAAATTAGTGAATGACAGTAGTTTGACTTCCTCTGTGGCCTAAGGAGAGTAATAAGAACAAATTTTAAAGCTTCCTTCTCAAATCCCCCAACAGCACACTTGCATCAGAGAGAGGGTTTTTTTTTAAGTTTTCTTGACAAAGCAAATATTCCAAAGACTAACAGGCATGGTCCAAGCACAGGGAAACTTGTTGGGCCACAGCTGAACACTGCTATCACCCAGAAACCAGCTGTAAATCCAGTCCTGATCTCCACCAGCCTCTGAATCCCTCCCCATCTTGCCCCCTCATCTGAAGCCACTGAAGGCCCAATGATTTGGTGATTCATAAGAGTAAAAGCCAAGAGTCCTGGCCATATTGCAGATGGTAACATATAGTTCTTGCCCTCAAGGAGCCTGCAATCCAGTAGTTCAATTCAAACAATATTTCTCTGTCTTTCCACAAGCGCCCTGAGAAGTAGGCATAGGTGTTAACCAATTTTACAGAGAAGGAGACAGGTGCCATAGGATAACTGGTCTGCCCAAGATCACTCTTGGTAAGAGGAAGAGTCAAGACCCACCCCCAGGTCTCTGAACTCAAAAGTCTTTTGCCAGGCAGTAAATGCTGCCGCAGCAGTTTCAACAAAGATTTAGGACTTTAGAGGGATGGCATTCTAGTTGGAGGAACAGGATAACAATGTCACGGATGATGTAGCATTGAACTGGCCTTCAAAGATAGGCAGGGTTTTGAGAGCAAGCAGTTTAATTTGGCTGGAGTGCTGACGCCCTTTACAGAGCTGTGGCTGAAAGGGCAGAAAGGGGCACCTGAGATCAGATTAGAGATGGCCCAATCCAGGCTTCTGCAGTAGGCAATGTGTCATCCTTAAAACACCCCAAAAAGCATCCCTTTCAGGAGTGGAGGGTGGGATAGGGTGACCCTGGAATGAGATGATACCATCTTCACGCCCAGAGGGATTCTTTGTTCCGGGTAATGGGACAAACACTGAAGGAATACAAAGACCTATTCAGCAAGTCGTTTTCTTTCTGTCCACTCGCTAAAATAAAAAACCTCGTCTTCTTTTGATTACTTCTGTTAGTAAGACATCTGATCACAGCATCCATCAAGGAGTGGGAGACACTGGGAAAGATTACCCACATTCGCTCCAGTTTCAGATGGTTATTCTTCAATGCTCTCAGGCCGAAAGGGTAACTCATTTCCAACCTCGGGAAAAGCCATTTTAACGGGTGAATTCCTACCCAAGCCTCACTCTGTCCCAAGCTCCCCAAGAAAAAGTTTATAAAAATTACAGTCAGGAGAGATAGATACTATTTCTCAAAACTGCAGACATTATTTGGACGACCACAAGGTTTAAAAACCATGCAGTCTAGTAATGCTATTTCATCCTCTGTAAAAATTTAAAATTATGAAAAGCAAAAATTCCCCCAAAATGTATTTCAGACCTTACAAAGGACAGTTAGTCTGTAATCCCATGACAGAACTTTCTTAGTGCTCAGACTGAACTCAAAGGAGCTGCTATCACAGGTAAATATTCTAAAAGACCCCTCCCGCCCATCTGTTCAGGTGTACCGAGAGCCTCGCAGACACGAGGGAGTTAATTTGCAGAATAACGACAGGAATGTTTCCAGTTCAGATTTACAGAACTTCTCAAGGATTCTAAGTGTTTTGCAAGAGACTCATGACCAACCTCTGACCTAGCCTGAAAGTCCTAGGAGGAGAGCCCAGTATCCAAGGCCGGCCATCAGCCTTGGATATTGCCTTGAGGTAAAAGGATTTCAAAGGTAAATTACAGCTACTTAATGTGAAGCCTAACTATTAGATCCCTATCTAAAACTCTAGGAAACTGAATAGCTGTATTTTCTTTAGGCACATAAATGTTATTAGTCCTTGAATTTTTACTATATTGATGAGGTCTCTCCATATACCATGTTACTTAATAACCCCAATAATCCTATGAAGTTTTATCTTCAGAAAAAACTGAGCCTTGAAAGAATAACGTGCCCAAAGCCACAGAGCCAGTAAGCAGTCTAGCCGCTGATCCCATCCCACTGCCTCCCCTCCTAACCATGCACCAGATGTGTGCTCCTCCACAAGCCCACAGTGCTGGGGATCCCCCCATACACAAGGGAAGAGGAAGCCACAGCTCTTCTCCTGGTGTCAGGTCCTTACTGAGTCAGCATCACCTATTTCTGCCTCAGAACTACAGAGAAGTTTAAGGTGAGGTTTTCCTAGTCCAGGGAAACCCCTTAATCTGCCTTCCCCTCTGATTCACTATCCCTTCATTACTGACACACCTAGAGTGTGTACAAGGGCACAGGATTCCCAGAGGCTCACTCATCTTTCATCCTGATCCGGTTTAATCAGCACTATATCCTTAAACATTACTTCCGACTCCCATAGTTTTAAAAGAGAAAATCACAGACACACAAACAGCACTGAGGTGCTCATGCTCAAGGCTACTAAACCAAGGAAAAGCCGACCCAGAGAGTCAGGACATCGAGTTCCAGGGCCCATCCTGTCGCTAGCTAGAACTATGACAAGGGGAAATTCAATTACCCCCTCACCACCCCCCCACCGTGGGCCTCAGTTTCCAAAGATGTAAAAGGGAATTAGTTGATAAGAAGTAACTTGCACTCTTTAGAAGATCGAGCTGACTTACGTCAAGTACTTAGGACTGTTCTAATTTGATGCTTGATGAATTATTTCCTTTCTTTATCTTCCCTCCCAACTTCATCTTTAGGGGAGCAGAAGGGGAAATAAAGTGGTCGGATCTTCTAAGTATATTCATCGAGTTCGAGTGCATGTGGCAGATTTTTTTTTAAAAGGCAGGTTAAATAAATAAGATTCTTATCCCTCTCTACCCCTTTTCCTCCTTCCCTCGGCTCCCACATCCTAAACCCAGAAATTAGGTGACCACAGCTGAATGAGCTCAAAACAGGTCAGCAAGAAGCTCCCAGTTGCCATCCCCTTGCAGACCTCAGGGACAAGTGCCTGGCTGCAGAGAGAAACCGGAGACATGGGGGGACCTCCAGGGGCTCCACTGCTAGACCAACTTCCCCGGGACCGGCTGGACCCGCGCCCCTCGGGGGACGGGGGCGCCTGAGCCGCTGCATGGCCCGCCGCCCCCCAACTCGCGGCCCCGCCAAGTCCCCACAGCCTGCCCGGGTGGCTGGCAGCCGCTCACCTGCGCGGGACAGAGCAGCAGCAGGAGGAGGCTGAGGGCCGGGCCGCGCGCGCCCATGCTGCGGCGGGGCAGGGAGAGGACGCCGGCAGCGGCTCGGCCGGCTCGGCGTCCCGGGCTGTCTCAGGACACCGCGCCGGCTGATTCAGGGAGCGGGCGTCAGAAGCGGCGGGCTGCGCGCGCAGGTCAGGAAGGAACTAGGCTTCGTCGGCTCCTCCCCCTTTTGGGGGAGGCGCAGCTGCCGTGACGCCCTGGGCCAGTTCTGGGGCGGGGCCGGCCCGGGGTGGGCGGGACAGGGGCGAGGCCCAGACGGGGCGGGGCCGGGGCCCCACCGGGCAGTGCCAGGCCGGCGGCACGACCTCTTCCGCCCTGCGGCTTCTCGGGCCGAGGCGTGCGGCCGGGACTCCCCGACCCGGGGAGATGAACTTTTGGAATCCGGCCTGGGAGGATATTTCTAGAGTTGTGCCAAAAGTGTATGGTTTTGATGCTTTAAATCATTTCTCCCGTTTGTCTTTCCTGAGTTGGAGACCTTGTGCGAGAAGGTTTTAGCGAATGGGAGTGCTTGGAGACTGTTTTCCCAATTAACACCCCACTCCTCAGCGGAATATGTGTTTATTTCGGCCCCAAATAGCACTCCGAGCAAGTTCTCCCGAGCCCAGTCACCCCGAAGGAATCCGCCCCTGGGCACTTGTAGCAAAGCTCGGGGCGGAGCCGCGCTGTGGCCTGACTGTGTTGTGGTCCGAGAGAGCGCGAGGGGAGGGGTGCGGCGGTGGGCGGCGCTGCTGAGCCACCCAATCTCCGTTCACTGGCCTCTCAGCCCACGTTCGGAAAAGCGCTAGAACCGCACTATCTGCTGGCGGAGCCAAGCGTGGCAGTGAAACCGTGGGGGGACTTCCCGTCACCCCCGGGAAGTTTGACCCAGAGATGGGACCGGAGTCCATTTTTTTTGTTCTAAGTCAAATAACACAAAGATAAAGGAGAAGCATTTTCGCTTTTGAGCTTTGCACTTATCATAATCTTTTTTGGTCTTGCACTTATTTTTATTATATGCATTTCCGGTAACATTTCCCCTCTGACTTAAATTATTGAGACCTCTCAAAAGCATGAGTCATTTCCATTTTGAAGTTAAGGAAATGGAGGTAAGGATCTCTTCTCCCAACAGGAGAAGCCAGTTTACAATGAAAAGACAATATGCAGCTGCAACAATGATCAGACCCAGTCCCAGTAGAACCATGATGTAGGTGACATTCTCATCCCTACTCTACAAAGCGGCTGATTCAGTTACTGTCTTTGCCTCCCCACCTCCTCAGCCCTGTGATGTCCGCCTGGCTGGCTCCGCACTAAAACTATAGGGATTTCCTCTGGATCTTCAGCCCTAGATTTTCCTTGACGACCTCCTGGCTCTCATCCAACTGTGTGCTCTCCTGCTCCTGGTGAACTGAGATAAAGTAGTATGCTGTAATGCAGGGGTCCTCAGAGTGTTGTCGCTGAACCAGCAGCATCAGCAGTACCTGGGACCTTGTTAGAAACGCAAATTCCCGGTTGCACTCTAGACCCACTGAGTCAGAGACTCTGGGTATGGGCCCAGCTGGTTGTGTTTTAACAAGCCCTCCAGGTGGTTCCAGTGCACACTCAAATTCCAGAACACTGCTGTAATGTATTCTCTGGATCCTGGTAGATTAGTTGCTCTTCTAAGTTTAGTACAGTCCTTATGGGAAAAAACAAACAAACAAACAAAAATCTTTACTAAATGATTGACTTGAATAAAGGAAATTTCAAGCACCATATGAGACATTCTGGAATGGGCAGAAATTTCGATGCCCCACAAATTGTGTCCACCATTCACTAAAACTGTAACAGATCTTAAGTTAGCATGAAGGAAGGCATCTTAGGGAAAGCAGCAATATTTTAACTATGACCCTGACTCACTAGTCTCTGAGAATGCACTCTAGCCTAAATGATTAAGCTCCTCTTGCTTTTGCAAAATACATGAGCTGCTAGTTCTATGACTTTGCTTACATATGTCTCCCAGCTGTGATAAGATAACTTTGTTCTCTGAGTTCCCCAGGAGCGTGATGGCCTCCAGAAAGAAAAATGCTGCGTTGGTATCCATCACGAATGACAGAAGAAAGATAATGTGGTGTCTTGAAGTTGGTCACACCTGATGGTCAACATCCTTAAACACCCTCCTTCCCTACTCATTTCCCCTATATAACTGCCTCAAGATTCTGTGTGATTTTAAGATGGTTCTTTAGGACACTAGTCTGCCATCCTCCGATTATGCTAGCTAATTGGAAAATAAATTTTCCTTTCTCAACCACTGGCTTGTTTGCAATTGATTGGCACCAGATTGTGGTGAGCAGAAGAAGCTGCTTTTTGCTCAGCTACAAAACAGTAACAAAAAGATCTTTTTGCCATATTTTTTTTCCGGCTCTGTTTTTCATACAGCTTCAACATGCCCAAAAGTCTAGGAAATATTTTTAAAATCAATTGTCATAGTTTTAAGAGAAATGTTTTTTGCTGATAACAAAATAATGCATGCTTATGCTAGAGACTTTGAAAATACAGAAAGGTTTAGAGACTACAATAAAAAAATAATTTATAATTCCACTACTATTGATAAGCTATGTCACATTGTGATGCACTTTCTCCTATGAAAATTGTTTTAACATAGTTGAGATCCTAAGAGAAACTTTGTTCAAATAATACTCAATATCACTATCATTATAAACACCAATTCAATATTGACTGCCTCATAATAAAGGACAAGAGGGAAAATGAAATTATTAGACATATGCCTCTTTATAAATGTGCAGAAATATCCTCCAGAAACCTTCTATGCATTTGAAGACATATATGTGAATATAATATATGGACTTTTTAAATAAGTGGGACTATATAGATATAGTTTGCAGCTTGCTTTTTTACATTTAGCAGTATGCTTCTTCACCTCACTACTTTTACTAGCCCTATAGAATTTTCTGTGTGTATGTAACATTCCCAAAGCCAGAATGATGTAGGTCAGTCTCAGAGTAGTGCCTAAGTCAATGAAATATAGCTCACCAACCAAGTATTTCAAAATAACTCGAGTTCTCAAATTGCACTTCTGGTACATGTGAAGGGTTTGTATGGTTCCAGTAATATCGAAAAAAATCACCTTTCCTTTTCTATCTGCTTCCTCACATTCCTGAGCTTGTCTAGATTCCACAAAGCTTTGCATCTTTATGTGCCCTCTGCTCTCCTCATATACTGCATCACAGAAGTCCAAAAGCTGTTGAACGTTTCCCTTAGGGAGAGAAATAAAAACACTGACCTAAGACAAAATTCTCTTTACCTAGCAGATGGAAGGGGAAGGCTAGAAATAGTCATGTTAGTAGTTTTTGATCCATTATATAATTTATTTAATCAATCTCCTGTTGGACATTCAGTTTGTCACTTTTGTTACTGGAAACAATGATGCAATGAACATCCTCGTACCTAAATCATTGTAATCATATACATATAGAACTCTTGGAAGAACTTATTGTTGGATCAAAGGAAATGTTCATTTTAATTTTTATTACTGCCAATTGTCCTCCAAACATATTGCAGTTTATACCTTTGCCAACAACATATGGAGGTCCCTGATTCCCACATCCTTGCCAACACTTATCTTTGCCATTCTGATAGGTGAAAAATGGCATCTGATTTTACATATTTTAAAAAATATTGTGATGCTTTAATTTGTATTTTATTAATTATTAGTGAGATTAAGAATCTTTTGGGGGGCAGGCCGGGTGGCTTAGTGGTTAAGTTTGCGTATTTTGCTTTGGCGGCCCGGGGTTTGCAGGTTTGGATCCCAGGCATGGACCTATGCACCGCTTATCAAGCCATGCTGTGGCAGCGTCCCACATATAAAGTAGAGGAAGATGGGCATAGATGTTAGCCCAAGGCCAATCTTCCTCAGCAAAAAGAGGAAGATTGGCAACAGATGTTATCTTAGGGCTAATCTTCCTCGCCAAAGGGGGAAAAATAATCTATTCATTTATAAATGATTTTATTTCTTTTTCTGTGTTCTTCATTTTCTGTTAGATATTCTTTTTCATATTGATTTGTAAAAGCTCTTTATTTATTAAGAAAATTAACTTGGTCTAGCATATGTGTTGCACATACTTTTACTAATTTACTAGTTTTCAGGATTATAAAAAATTATTTCATGTTTTCTTTTAGAGTTTTAATGATTTCATGAAAATAATGATCCATCTGGAATTATTTTGCTGTGATGAGTGATGTAAGGACCCAGCCCCCCTCATCCCCCAGAGCCTAGGCAGTCACATGGATACCTGCTCCTCTTAAGATCGTCATTGGTTTTGTGTTGCCAAGTCCAATGACAACTCCTTTGGTCTCATCTCACTTGATCTCTTAGTAGCATTCCACATGAATGATCTCGCTGTCCTCCATAAAGCATGTTCTTCTTTAACCGTCACCCTCCTGGGTTGCCTCATTGGCTAAGCACCAACTATATCTCATCTTCTAGACTAGGGATGTATATTCATGTTAATAAAATTTCATTACAATGAAATAATTTTGATTTCTTTTACTATAGAAGCTTTTTTTTACCTTCTGCTGATGTGGAAACTTCAAAGTAGGCAGTGATTCAAGTGAACAAAGAAAAAGGAATGCCTCACTACTGCACAGACTGCAAGCTTGCCTGGTTTCTACTCAAAAACTGAAGTTCAATAATAGAAAATGAAGATAGAGCTGGGCCTCTGGGGTACTAGGATGCAACCAACTTCGCCTGGTGATATCTGAGCCAGTGGCTGATGGACCTGTCGCTGCTTCACCTTGCTCACATTTTTTTACTTTTCCCTCTTGTGTTAGTCAGCTCAGGCTGCTGTAACAAAATACCATAGACTGGGTGGCTTAAAAACGGGGATTTATATCTCACCATTCTGGAGGCTGAGAAGTCCAAGATAAAGATACCAGCCTGTTCACTTTCTGGTGAAGGTTTTCTTCCTGGCTTGTAGATGGCCACCTTCTTCCTGTGTGCTCACACAGCCTTTCCTTGCTGCATGTGTGTGAAGAGAGAGAGAGAT